TTCGTTCCTAATCGGAGTGGTTGGTGTATTCCATAGTTCTAGAGATCGGATTTCACTCAAAACTAACCAAACGACTCCTCCCACCATAATATGTTGTTGCCCAAGTTTTGGGCTCAATCCGAAATCAATAGGTGTAAGAAATTGGGCAATTCAAGTTCAAAGGCAGTTCGTTCCTAATTGGAGTGTTTGGTGTTTTGGGTAGTTCTAGAGATCGGATTCACTCAAACTCAACCAAATGACTCCTCCCACCATATTATGATGTTGCCCAAGTTTTGGGCTAGATCCGAGATCAGTAGGTGTAAGAAATTGGACAATTCAAGTTCAAAGGCAGTTCGCTCCTAGTTAGAGTGGTTGGTGTTTTGGGTAGTTCTAGAGATCGGATTTCACTCAAACTCAACCAAATGACTCCTCCCACCATATTATGATGTTGCCCAAGTTTTGGGCTCGATCCGATATAAATTGGTGTAAGAAATTGGACAATTCAAGTTCGAAGGCAGTTCGTTCCTAATTGGAGTGGTTGGTGTTTTGGGTAGTTCTAGAGATCGGATTTCACTCAAACTCAACCAAATGACTCCTCCCACCATATTATGATGTTGCCCAAGTTTTGGGCTCGATCCGAGATCAATAGGTGTAAGAAATTGGACAATTCAAGTTCAAAGGCAGTTCGTTCCTAGTTGTAGTGGTTGGTGTTTTGGGTAGTTCTAGAGATCGGATTTCGCTCAAACTTAACCAAATGACTCCTCCCACCATATTATAATGTTGCCCAAGTTTTGGGCTCTATCCGAAATCCATAGGTGTAAGAAATTGGCCAATTTCTGTTCAAAGGCAGTTCATTCCCAATCGGAGTGGTTGGTGTATTCCATAGTTCTAGAGATCGGATTTCACTCAAAACTAACCAAATGACTCCTCCCAACATATTATGATGTTGCCCAAGTTTTGGGCTCGATCCGAAATCAATAGGTGTAAGAAATTGGACAATTCAAGTTCAAAGGCAGTTCGTTCTTAATTGGAGTCACTACAAAAAAACACCATTTAGTGACGGCTGAAAAGTGTCAGGAAACGTAATACTTGACGGTGCAGAAACCGTCAAGAATACCACTGTTAGGAAAGGGGTACCCCATTTATTGACGCTTTTTAAGTGTCAAGTAATCCTTACGCTTGACGGCTTTGAGCCGTCAAGTAACTATTATGTTTGACGCCTTTTAACCGTCATGTAATCGTTGTGCTTGACGCTTTGTAACCTTCAACTAATCGTTCCGCTTGACACCTTTAACCGTCAACTAACAATTCATTGATGGCTCTAAGTATCAACATTGTAGTTATTTGACATCTAATAAGTGTCAATTAAAATCACTTGACATGTAAGAACCGTCACATGGAAGTTTACTTGACGGCTAAAATGCATCACGTACGTGACATTTGTTGTATGTGTCCTTTTTTTTTTCCCAAACAAGTTGGAGCCAACAATTTTTTTATAATCCCGCTGGATTAGGTGGGGATAAAGAGCCCTTTTTTTAAAAAAAAATTTATAAAATCCAGCTGGGCCTAGGTTTGGCCTATGCAATATATTATTTTACAACTATGAAAACTAATCTCATTATTAAGAGCTTATCACTTAATCAAAACTAAATCTGGGAAACCAAAAGAGCTAACTTTATCACAATAAAAAATAATTCAAAGCACAGAATACTTCTAAAATAATTTGCATGTATTGAAACTAATCAACTGAAAATACATCATACTAGTGCATTTGTTCACTTAGTTTCAACAAACTATACAAGCCATGCATTGCCAAATATACACACTAAAATCCATAAATAAAATGAGTTTTTCCAGTAGAAACCTCTTGTGTTCTAGTACAATATTCCCCATTTTACATCCAGAGAGTTCTTACTTCGATAGGACCTGAAATGCACATTAAAAGAAAGATAGTAGGATCAAATAATCAAGTAGTACAACCACTAGAGTCTAACTGCACAAATAACTTTATAAGTGACAAAAATAGAATATAAGCACACACGACCTTCAAAACAGATGACCAGCAGCCTTACAACAAAACTGCCAAACAAGACCTGCCAAACAAAACTGCCAAACAAGACCTGCCAAACAAAACTGCATATGATACTTAATTTTGCAGTGGGCAAACAATTTCGCAGTTACATATGATACAAAACTGCCAAAGATGAAAAGTAACATGCATGTAATCAGTTACAATTTTCGAACAATTTTCGAACAAGTATATACTATAAACTATGAACAAATTTACCATATTTCATGAAGATTCTAAGACCACAGCAGCCATACAAACAATCAATGGCTTTCACTTTCTTTCCAAAAAACAGAGAGCTTACTGGAAATCACATTTGTGATCCTATATATCATCTTCTCAAAAAGCCAAAATTGGAATTCCCATCACACATCATCTACCAAGTGAGAGCTAATATTAATTGAGTGAAATAGCCAATAAGATCTCACACAGCATATACCAAGTTAGCATACTCATTGTAATAAAATACAATAAATTGATTTAACAGAGCAAAGACTGAAATATATATATAAGATTCGAACCCCACTAGACAAATTATAGACCAGCATAATATCATTAGTTTAGTTGATTGTATCATAATGAAAAGTATGTTAAAATTTTAATATAATAGGAAATGGCTTACTTGTCTACAACTACTCTGACATCCTCATAAATATCATTCCTTAATGGGTCCAAATAATAAACAGTCATGGATGAGAAGTCAATGACAATTAAGATCCAGTGGAACCTATGGCAAATGAATATGTACATATTAGTCGAGTTCAGTAAATTTTACATAATCAAATCTAAATTAATAAGCTTTGAAGAGTAGTCTTACGCAGGATTATAAGGCATGATTATGAGTTGATTTTTTTTTGCCTTCACCAAACGATCTGCTATATTTCGTGATCTCTCATCCCGTTTTCGTTGATTATTTAAATTTCCAGCCAATGATACAATAGCAGGATTGATAAAGCCAAACATCTGAAGTAGACCTTCAGCCTTCATATGATCATATAATTGTCTAAACAAAGTGAAATACGTCAAAGCAGTGCAATACAATATACCTCAAAAAATGTCATGTAGCATTGGCTTACCTCATGTATAAAATGATACAACTCACTGTAAGTTCAAGCATTGAAGTAAGACATGTAAAAGAATCATGGTTGGCAGTACAAGGATCATAAGCAGCATTAACCATTTGTAAAGTTTCTTGGACCTCCTCGTATTTAGGTGACTGATCAAAATTTACTTCCCTACTTGTTGTTCCTCCAATATCAGCCACCTCCCCATGCCAACTCCATATCTTATAACTTCGATCAGCACCTCTTATAAACATATGATCTCTTATCCCTTTAGGAGTCTCAAACATCAAATTTCCACATACTTGGCATGGACATTTAATGAGTTTGGGGTTACTAGCATGACTTATAGCAAACACAATAAATTGCTCAACACCATCTTCATATTCTTTTGACATTCGATCTTTTGACATCCAAGTTTTATCCATTTCAAACTAAAAAAACCTTCCCTGCAATATAGGCCACTTCATTCTCTTCACCAATGGTTACACACATTACCAAGATAAGAATTAATCTTGCAATGCAATATATAAATAGAAATGTATAGAAATTTGTAAATCATACTTCCTTTTCATACAAAAAATAATAATAATAATACTTGGCTGCAATTACTGAACTAATACCAGAAAAGTATGATTAAAATTGGTAATCAATTTCTTCTAGATCTATAGGTTTTTTATAATAGAATCATCCTAATTAAATTAAAATAGTATATTACTATTGCCAATAAGCATATATATATATTCCTTTCTAGAAGAAAAAAGCTACTGATCTCAATTTATAGTTATAACTTATATCAAAACAACCAGCCATACATTACCAGAAGACATAATATCACCAATTAACAAAAACTAAAACACAAAAGCATTAAAAAGTTCACGAAAAGACCTATAACCTATATTATATTAGCATAAGAACCTTTCCTAATCAATTTTATCATCCAACAAAGATGAATTTGCATGTTCTATTTTTTTTTTTTACAGTGCCACAAGATAGTGATATCTTGAATTTTTTATTATAAATAAAATGATATTGATATGTTGATTAAATATAAAGAGATGTAGTAAATTCAGTGAGGGAAAATGTCGAGTAGGTGGTGGGCACTCCTTGCCGCCACTAACTAAAAAGAAGAGGAACTATCCTAATTTCCTAATAAGACAAAGAATACAATTCAAATCCATGGGAAAGATAAGAAGAAAGGAATCTAACTCCACTACTCAACTAAACTTGACTGGAGAGTGATAATTTATATTACTTAAAAATTATGCTAATTTTTTTTGAATTCGATTAGTTGTAGTTCAGATATGTAGAGATATTGAATGCCCACCTATAAAGCTTGAAAAAATTAGGAATATTGGCCAATAAAGAGCACAAACCCAGTTCTTTGTCGGCAACAAACTCTTCAATATTCTTGATTGTTTGTTAAAAATCTTCACTTTTCTCCCATTTCAACGTTCTCCCTGGTTCAACTCCCCGAAGCATCTTGAGATTGAGTGAGATTCATGTCAGGTACCTAAGGAATGGAGAGAAAGCACAAAACTTTCTGAGAGATGTACATAGAGAGAGAGAAAATACTCTGTAGAGAATGAAAGATT